AAATTTATTAACTGTCTTCAATTTTCCCTTTGAAACTCATATATATTAAATATTCTTTTTCCTTCCCATCAAATTGTCTAAAGAACATAAGCCGAAAAAAAAAATTAATGACGAATTCTAACGATCTACATTTAAAATAGATAACAGGTAAAGATAAAGATTGAAATAGACACAGACAGAGAGATAGAGAGAGAGAGAGAGAGAGAGAGAGAGAGATAGAGAGAGAGAGAGAGAGGCATCGAAAAGTCTTCATTATCGTTTTCCCCTGGTTTCATAAAAAAAAATTCTAATTGCAACATCAAAGAAGAATATCTTTTGTCCCTTTGCATTCTCGGTGCATTGAGAAAATCGCGAGAGTCGAGTCGTCTGGAATTTCTGAAAGGCTTCTAATTGTTCCGTGGCCGGTTGCTCGCGCACGTCTCTGGTTTAGAAAGAGAAAAAGAATGAGAGAATGAGAGAAAATGAGAGAATGAGAGAGAGAGATATTCCTTTCTTTCGAGAGAAATGGAGTGGTTTTCAAACACGAACGTGAACAGTTTTCTGCGGCTGGGTGACGCGGATATCCGTAAGCACAATGAGAGGGTCTATCTTCTATCCCTTTTCAACGATCCACGGATCTAGGGATCTATACGATATATATACACGTTTCTATATATACTATATATATATATATATATATAGTTATATATGTAACATATATATATATAGGAGAGAAAGAGAGGAAGGAAGGAAGGCACGCATCGAAAGGAGGTGAAGAGGGGGAGCAGAGAAGGATGAACGTAGATTCCTCATGAATGGTACGTTGACCAGCAGTTGAGTTCTTGCTGACATCTCGTTTTCTACTATTCGCCACTGATTTATATTCATCTTTTTTGCTACGTTTCCATTATATTAGAATCTCTTTGGTTTGTAATGTTTAAATTATTGTTATTATTATTTAATTGATCGCGATTAACGATTTACGAATTTTTAATAGATTTATACAAAAAAAAAAAAAGAGTTTCTCTCGGTGATATATTAAATATTATATTTATGTTTTATTTTTATAATCTTAACATAAATAAATATTATTCAAAGACTTTTGATACGATAGAAAAATTTTATCTTTTCAGTTGGTCTTAACAATATCCACATTATTTATTTATTAAACGAATGTTTTTCTACTACAAACAAAATATTTCAATAAATTGAAATACAAATTTCTAAGTGTGCAATTTTAAATGTAAAAAAATAAAAAAAGAAAAAACAAACAAACAAACAAAAAGTGTTGTTTAGCCTAAAAAATGTTTGGATAAAGAATAATTTTCGATGCACCCGGTAAAAATTTCGATGGAAAAATATTTTCGTTCAGTATTCTTTTAACAATGTTCTCCTTGGTCCTTGATCCTGCTTATAGGGGAAAAAAAAGAGAAAAAAATACGTTAGAAGAAAAATTGGTAAGCGTGAGTGTCTTCCGCGTGGTTGCACCCACCTTATGGTGCAATGAACAATAGATCTGTTAGATCGAGTTCGATACGTTCGACGCCTGGCGTGTGCCGACAAAGTAACGAACAAATGTGTGTTCTCGAAGAATAAACGAGAGCCTGGCCAATAAGATCGTAGCAGATGGTGGCAGATCAGCTGCAACGTTACGAGTTCCAAAGAAAAATCGATTACCAACGATACCTTTTAAACGTTCAGATCTATTTTCAGATAATATTTCAAATAATACAATACGATGATCATTGATCACAATGTTATGATAAAAATATATTGTATATATATATATTTTTTTTTTATATTTAAATAAGAAGATTATCGGAAGTTATTAGATTTACTTAGATTAATTTTTGATAAATCTTCATTGACAGAATTTTATTATTGAGCTATATATTTGATAAAATAAAAATAAAACAATTATGCGAGCAAGTATATCTCAATTGTTTTATAAATATATATAATATAAAAATAATATATATTTATACAGTATATTCTATAACTGACGATGATACAATCGAGCAAGGTGTGATAATTCCATATGGAAAAACTAAATCAAAACTGTATACGTATTATTACATAATATCAAATAATAATAAAAATATTGTATATATATATTGCAATTTCGTTTTTTTTACAAATACGCGTATAAATTGTACGCACGATCAATATCATACACATTTAAAATACATAAATATTGTTGAATATGGTACGTATTAATCAATGATCATTACTATAAATATATAATAAATGTGAGAATGTGTGAGAAAGTATCCGACACCTTAGAGAAAACCAATAATTGGTTGACACGTTATGCACATATGTATCTACTCAGAGTGCTTACCGTTAACCTTGATAAAGGTCTCAAGAGAAATCTTATGCATTTTTGCATAATAAATGTCGATCGAGTCGACTCATAAAACGCGTTAAAGTAAATACGATTCCACGAACGTTTATCTTCGAGTCGGTCACGAGCGAATTTATTCTCGCGATGTTCGATGGGAGAATTCGATGTGGTATATTTTTTTTCTTTTTTTTTTAACGAGCTTGCTGAAAGAAAGATAGAATGAAACAGAAAGAGAGAGAGAGAGAGAGAAAAGGATCGATAACGA